ACAGACATTTTTATTCGATTTATAACATTCTTCGTAGTGGTGCAGTTATAAACCACATTGGTAAAATGGAAAGATTATTATTGTTTATTGTTAGAGATCAAGTTCAACTTATGCACGGTGTAAAGACTAGGTATGAGTGCCAATTTGTGAATATTCCAGGACAATGCATATCTATTCGTCCGAGTAGTTCACCTCACACTTTGCATGAAAAGGCTATGAGAATATACCAGACAAGCAAGAGCAAGTACAACAAATGATCAGTCACTCATCATCAACCATATTATTTTATAGCGATGAAAACCAGACAGATACCTGAGCCGCAATCCACTCTTTTCCTTCAGGTTTTCCTATAGCGTTTGTTTCGCTTTCACAAATCTTAAAGCCTTAAGGATCTTGTCCTCTTTTACAAAGCCTTCCTGTAAATTTTTCCTTCCTTTCCTGTCAAGGAATCTACTTAGAATTATGTTCAAGAACCTTCTTAATTTTTTATCACTTTTTTATAGGAGTGTCTTTAAAAATCTCGCTCTTTCTTTAAGTCTACCATATTCTTCGTGGGACCATCTTTGAGTCTCAGAAACAGCTTTAACCGTGCGCTTAGAGTTACAGCCCCACAAATTCTTAAATGTGACGAGAAGTCAAATGCAGGGGCGTACCGTGAATAAATGGCGCATATGGAAAACACAGATCTTGCGCCCCTCTCCGACCGTCTATTGATAGGAAGTCGAATTTAACATAAAAGTATTACTTATAAGTAATATTGTTTAAACATGAATAAATGCCCAAAAAGGTTTAACCTAACGAATGCATTGGTTCAAATGATCTCCACTAACTTCCTTCATTAGTCAAATCCGGACTTTACCTTTCTCGAGGCCTCAGGGCATTCTGCGATATTTCTTTGTCGTAGTACAAATTATCGTTGGAAGAGGCATCTTTCGCAAATAAAAATAAAATTTGAGAACCACAAATACCTACACTGCAGTAAAAACATTCTAAAATTTCATCCACATTTTAGATGGGGTACCGCAGTTTCTATTAATTTTTTTTTAATTCACGCAAAATTTTTAAAAAGAATAAATTGCCTTTTGAAAGTAAACAGAACAGATCCATTCTTGTCAGTATGTGATTAAATAGGCCTTATCTACTATGGACTGGTCCGAAATATTGATACAATTAAAAAAATAAAAATAATACAGTTAAACAAATAAAATTTAAAAAAGTCGATATCATGGACTACTTGTTGGTGCTCGCGGAACTATCACTTTTTTTTAAAGAATTTTCCCACACTTTTGGATTACCATCTAAATTATTAAAATTAATAGGAATAACTACTATAAAAAATTTACATTTACATTTACATTTACATTTACATTTTAAGAAATCATTTATATAATTAATTTGTTTGCAATTTTTCATGTTCAAATTTGTATTGTATTCTTTGTTTCACAGGAACCCAGAATGTTGGGAAGGTGTAATTTATATAATAAATTCCTATATATACAAGAATTCATGCCACATTTCTCAATTTTGAAAATTGACATACAGAAAATATACAGGATAATAAATAAATTATTAACACGTTTCTCTCATTGGGGTTGATGTTAGGTTGTTAATTAAAAAATTCTGTTTTTATTTAAGTGTTTTACAATGAATTTATCATTTTTTGTCGTATTTTGAAAGTGCTGAAACACAATTATAGGCGATGTGCCTCGTTTGGATTATGTATATTTTGTTACCGTTAATTATCAGCTGCAATTTAAAAAAAACTATATTCTAATGGATTTTCGAGAAAGGAATACTTTAAAATGAATCAAAAAATGTTGGTGTGGTGCACCGCAGAGCTCGCCCTCCTCCCCCTCACCCCGCCAAATACTTTAATGGCCCGTATTCTATGCAATTCCACCTGGCCCGTAAGTACCCAGTTCGCCCCTGAATGTATACCTGATTAAGCATTAGGTAATTAGGAATTTTTTGGCTTCACAACTCCAAAATAAATTAGACCGCTTATCGTTACACTCTTTTTTTGTGCTGTATTCTTGATATAATTTGCGAATGGGAGGAGCAAAAAATTTTTAATTGAAACATTTAATTATATCACATATGCATGAGAAAAATTTGCAATAAAGACTGAAATGGCATAACCTACATTTAGTCGCTTAAATATTTGAGGAATATGAGATGTTTCTGTTAAAATGTTGACAAGTTTGGAAAGAAATTTGGGCAAAAGTATCTACCTATACGTGATCGATTTGCATTCACTCTTTCAACAAACTTTTATCATTTCAAAGGGTGGTAGGTATAACTTCCGTAACAAAACTTTTAAAAGTATTTTTCTGTACATCAATGGAATGTCTATATGTTGCGAAAAAATCGATGTTATCCAAACTTTTTATAGTTGACAGCTATAAAACAAGCACGAATATTTCACGCATCTAGAGTGGCAAGAATGTGTTATTTAATGGGCGAGATCTTCGGCACGTGTCAACGGCAAACATTAGCGACATTAGCCCTCTTCCTCGTGTATAAACAAACTAAACGATTGATGACTTTACATACACATTTCCTTTATTAAACGTTCGTGTTTATGTTTTAACGAAACTTGGTTGACGTTTCCCGTTTAATAATTTTGAGAAATCATTTTATAGGATCTTTGACTTTCCATTTGGTACTGCCTGTAAGAAGGCCCTAAAGTTACATTTCTTAAAGTTCTATTAATTTGAACTGATTACATACACCTTATATGTATAAATGTTAGCTAACAAAGTGCAAGATGCGGTATCGTTTTTAAAATGCAGATCCGCATTGCCAAATTCTTCTAGAATCACAAGGAAAACTAGGGCAGTTATGATATAATTTTGATGTAAAACTATAATTTATTGCCCGCCCAGGTACAATATGTCCTTATCAATTAGATTACTACTAAGTACTAACATTGAATAATTTATTCAATGGTACTAATAATTATATGATTATCTAAACGGACTAACAGTATTGATGAGCGCAATGGAATCGAAGGTGTGTGGCCTAATCGATGTAACAAATTAATTGATTACTTTCAATTAAAGATGATGGATTAAATACTGTTTGGGTGATTATAAATGTTTGTGTGTCGGATGAAGCATTGAACAGTCATACAATCCTTATTTAAATAATTTATCATGTTTTCTCGGTGTCGGCAAATGATCACTGTATGGTAAGAAATAAAAATGATCAATTAAAAAGGACTAAAATCTAGGATCAGCATAGAGGAATATCGTGGGTGAATGTCCACCATCGTTTCACGTAACCCCAGTTGGTATTTCGCACGCTTTTCCAGATGTACAAATACAGGAACGTATTGAAGAGTGTCACAGAACTGTAGGATAAAATCCGTTTTCGTCAATAAAATGCTATAACTATAAGCTCATTTTTCATGTGGGAATCTACACCACAACGGCTGGTAGCATTTTCCCGAAGGAGACTCGGAGGACTACCGTTTTCTAGCGCTCGCCACCGAATCTTAGTTTAGACATTTGACCTATTAGTTTTATTTCTTGTTGCAATACAACCCTGTAGCAGACGGTGAGCCGCAAAGGACTCGGACTATTTCTTATTGGCGTGGACCGCAGTAAATCTCATTACGGCTCGTCCCTCCGTGTAAATTACTGCTTGCTCATTTGTGGCATGACTGTGTGCATCGTTCACAAAATCTAATTTTTTCAATAGTTTTTTCACCCGATGGTGGATAAGGCATTTTTTCTATTGTTTACATCGTACCATTTGCGAAATTGAGGTAGCGCTTTCGTATTTCGTACTGAAAAGGGTTGAATACGGCGAGGTCGGATTAATAAGCTTGCGTCAGACACAGGGAGTGTGAACGAGCCTCGGTCAAGCTCTGATGAAGTGGCGTCCATTATCAGGTCGCTGATGTGTTCAGAACGAGACTATTGTTGGGAGCAGCTTTATGGGCCCTAAACAAAAACACCATTACTGATCTGACCGCTACCCCCTCATCTCTTACGGTAACTCGCTCGGGACCCGTGTCGCCTTCGCTAATTATTTGCTCGTCATTTTCCGAAAATGTATTTTTATTTAAAGTACCCCAGCAGGAGTATAATGCGAATAATTTTCAACGATATCCACGCACTACGTTGATCTTAGCAACAATACAATTGATTTATTTGTACTGGAAGCGCACTATAATATAGTGTGCACGATCGCATAGGCAAGAAGCCGTTTAATAGAGGATCCTACTGTTTTATTAATGGTTGCCATGTCGGAATTCCACAAACAGACAAAACTTGTTACCGACAGCGCCATCCCGGAGGGTCAAGGAACTAAAGCCGCATGATACAATATCAATCACTTGTTTCATTAGTCAAATGCTTTTTTAATGACTTTCTTTAGACTCGTGGTAAGGATAGAGATCACACACTGCCATTCTCATCAACCAAACCCACTACTTTATTATACACATACTTATTCCATACATACTTAATTGCATCGTATTTTGCGCGTCCTTTACTAAACTCTATTAAAATACCTGTATAAGTAATCAACGCGTCAACTATGTAGTAATGCACGTAGTTTACAACTTTCACTACAATAATTCTTTGTTGTTGAATGGAGCTTTAGTACTAAGATCGAGTAAATTAACTTTTTCCAATTTACTTTCATCGGTTCCAATTACACATATTTTTCGGATACGATCGGTCTTTAATGTTTCACTTTTTAGAGGAACGTTTAATTCGTAAGTGTTACATAAACATACGCAAGGCATAGATCTTATATGAATGAAATAAACTCCCCTCACAACCCCTTTCATTCGAAGCAATATTAGCATAGGTTTGTGCAAACTAGTGACGTGAAGGTAAAAAGAAGGATCGGTCGACAAAAGTAACGATGCACTAAAATCACAAAAATTGGAAAGAACGGAAAGAGTTCGGAAAATCTCGTTAATTTTGTCAAACGGGCGCAAATATAAACAGTTGCCGCATTTATTTATTTATTACGTTAAATCTGCAATTAGAACCGTAAAGTAAAAGTACATAATCAGTTACAAAAAAATTAGGAACGTTAAAAATAAATTTTACATTTCCCCAATACCAGGAAAAGGCAATTTGCGTCCTCCCTCAGTGCATGTCCAATGAATCTGCAACTAAAATAAAAAATTAGAATTTGTAAAAGGGAAGTTCATAATCAGTGGCAACTAGGTTTCACTAGTGTCAAAAATAAATATAATAACCGTGAAAAGGTAAGGTCTCTCAGGTACAACCTGCCCCAATTGCCCCCGCCCTCAGTTCGTCTCCATTCCAGCAGATGAATCTTAAATAAAAACAAAAAATTAGAAATTGTCAGGGGAAAATTTCATTATCAGCGACAAAAAAGCAATCGCGTCAAAAGAAAGTTTTACATCTCAACACCACTGGAAAAAAAGCAAGATTCTCTCAGATACATCCCGTCCAAATTTGCCCCCGTCCTGTGTTCGTGACTACCGCAGTAGATCAATCTGCAATTAAAATAAAAAAGTTATAGAAATCACAAGGAAAAAAGTACATGATCTGTCACAAAAATGCATTAGCGACTTCGTAGGATGCGTAGAATGACTATTATTCACTTAGATGATTCCATCACTCTCGCTCATGTGGGAAACTTCATCCACGTGAATAACCACCATTCTACGCTCGTTGAAGAATGTACTATGATACAAAGCATTACACTTTCTATCATGGAATGTACTATTACATCTTGCCACTACTGGGAAAAAGCAGGATTCACCACGTACCTCCTGTTCCAATTGCGCCCTCTCACAGTTCGTAACCATTCCACCAAATATATATTAAATCTGCAAATAAAATAAAAAAAATTAGAATTTGTAAGGAGGAAATTTCATAATAATCAAATACAACAAAAACATAACATCTCACCACCACCATGAAAAGGTTCTCTCATCTACAACCTGCCCAATTTCCCCCGCCCTCAGTTCGTTACCTTCCGGCAATTGAATCTTAAATTAGAAATTATAAGAGGAAAATTTCATTGCTAGTCACAAAAAAATCAATGGCGTCGAAAAAGTTTTACATCTCACCACCACCAGGAAAAGGTAAAATTTCTCCCCAATTATCTTCGCCCTCAGTTCGTGATTAATATTTAAAAAAAATAGCAATCGTATGGATAAAAATACATAATCAGTCACAAAAAAGCAGTAACGTCAATCATTAATCGCATACGATTTGCAGTGCCACTCAGCTTGCATTTGGAAACCAGATTTTTAATCCGGCTCATATTCAATAGCACCGATTCTTGAACTCGTAGAAATCGATTGGCGAAAGTTTGACATCACTATCTCTCTTCATTCTCGAGTTAGGCGAGGCACAGACGGACAAAACCATCACATAAGGGGAATTTTATTTTCTTTCGAAAAATTCCCCTAAAAGAGGAACTGTAAGCAGAAAATTTGATAATCAGACAAAAAGAAAATGTAGTAACGTCAAAAATAACCACCACCATCGGAAAAAAGCAAGATTCTCTCAGTTACATCCTGGGCTGTCCCAATTGCCCCCGCCAGGCTTGACTTCATGATTCATAGAGCCTCCAAATGACACTGGCACTTACAACCTAGAAATATTACAAAGTGTACGAGAATGTTTTTGCAAGGTTTCTGGTTAACTATGATGAAACTCCGTAGTAGCGTAACAAGAAAGCAAGACGTCTCGGTGCAAAACAATAAAAATTCTGGGCTATTTCTCTAGAAAGTAAAATTTATTTTTGTTTGTAGTTTATGAAATGATTCGTTATGATCAAAGGTTTATACAAGTAGAACTTTTATGTTTTGATAAAACCGTTAAGGCTGTTTTACACTGCACTAGTAACTCGTAAAGGTTGCTAAAAGCGAGTACTGCTCGTATCGTGTAAATTGCCATTCTAGTACTCAGTATAGACTAATCCTCATTACTGGTGCAAGTACTGTTTTAGCAACTCGTAAGAGTTACAGCGTCGTGGAAAACACAACTTAAAGACAGTCCAGATGTAGTGGTTCAAAATCTTTCGGGTATTTTTGTGAAGTTAACCGTAATGAAAATGAGCTTTGGTTCATTCAGGACAATTTAGTTCTAAACGTACGTTAATCTTTTATTGAAAATCGTTTCGGTGCTAGCTCCTACATTACTATACATCGCAGTTCCCATTCCTTTCAGTTTTCTGTATTGGTATAACTGGAAGCGATGGAATTAGGGAATGCAATACCGGAATTGCGGGATCCCGAAATACCGGGATCCCGCAGCATTTTTGTGGGATTAATCCTGCACATTAGCACATAAATGGAGCGGGATCCCGCGGGATTTGCGGGACTGAGGAATTTGTCGACCAAGGGGACGACTCTGTTTACTTTGTTAATGAAACTGATAACGGCGAATTATTTTTTAAATAATTGTTAAACTTTTTTCGTTAAAAATGTACTATGATTTTTGAGGCACTTTAGAAGACTTTTTGTGCTTTACTGGTGAGGTTTTTTTGAGTTCTAAGTTAGGCCGAAGGTACTTTTTTGTTAAATATTGTGATAATTAGCGATTTATTTTAATACAGAAGTTAACTGCACAGAATTGCTTATTTGTCAATTTATTTAAAGTTTTGCGAGATCTCGCAAATTCCGGGATCCCGCGGGATTAACATCTAACAATCCCGCAAATACCGGGATTGAGATTTTGCTGCGGGATTGCATTCCCTACTAGTAACCAATTTCGAAAGAATATTCAAAGGGCTGTAACTTTTGAACTAGTAGCCCAATCTTGGAACTGTTTGAAAATATGGATTCTACAGGCCACATTCTATAAGAAAATTTTTTTTCGGGGTCGATCTGAGACAAATTTTTTTGAGTGCCTCAAAAAAAGGCAGTGTACAACCTTCCTTTTTTACCAAAAATCGACTGCACCAAAATTTCTCGGGAAAACACTTTTTCTTATTAATTTTGGTGCGTAGATTCCAAAACAATTCGTACTTTTTCGATCAGACTTCTCAATCAAAAGTTATAGACTAGAAACCAATTTCGAAAAAATATTCAAAGGGCTGTAACTTTTGAACTAGTAGCCCAATCTTGGAACTGTTTGAAATTATGGATTCTACAGGCCACATTCTATAAGAAAAATTTGTTTCCGGGTCGATCTGAGACATTTTCTTTTGAGGGCCTCAAGAAAAGGCAGTGTACCTTTCCTTTTTTACAAAAAATCGACTGCACCAAAATTTCTCGGGAAAACACTTTTTCTTATTAATTTTGGTGTGTAGAATCCAAAACACTTTAGAAGACTTTTTGTGTTTTACAGGTAAGGCTTTTTTGAGTTCTAAGTTAGGCCGAAGGTACTTTTTTGTTAAATATTGTGATAATTAGCGATATATTTTAATACAGAAGTTTACCGCACGGAATTGCTTATTTGCCAATTTATTTAAAGTTTTCCGAGATCCCGCAAATACCGGTATCCCGCGGGATTAACATCTAACAATCCCGCAAATACCGGGATTGAGATTTTGCTGCGTGATTGCATTCCCTCGATGGAATGATCGAGCAGAACCTCAATGAAAGACACTTTTTTTTTCTTCAGGAGGGGAAATGCAATGACGCACTGAGTGTGGGGCTCTCCTGGATACCGGTTATACGTACTATGGTCAGTTGTCTTATTTTATCAAATATATATAGGTACCAGTGCTATTTAGATCTTAGATTTTAGATATTAGACATTTAGATATTGTACCTTCATTTATTTGTCAAGGTTTCTATTATTTATTCACTCACAAGTCTCATTACACTCTTTCTACGTTATATTTGGGACACACACCAAGTACGTGATCTACAGTTAGGTCGAGCAAACATAGTTCGCATTGGGGAGGGTCTTGTCTCATTAAAAGAAATGAATGCGTGGGAGTTATGGTCTTTTCAAGGTGAAACCTTCCCTTAATTGGTAAGAATATCGGGCCCACAACCTGCTTGAATTTCCTTAAGAGCGCTCACTCCACTGCCCGTTCCAAATTTTCCATATGTGGGCTCCCCATTTATGATGAGCGAGCACCCTTAGGATGTTTAGTGGTTTTCTGCAGGACACTTATACTAAATTTTCTAAATGTCTCGTCCATCTAAGCTCGCTATCATACATATATAATTTAACGTATGAATCTATTATTTTGGAGTTAATTGTTACGGAGGCAGATCCCGCCTTGTCTTAAAAATAATCAATTGGTATTCAATTTATCGCTTCGAAGATTTTAAGTTGGCCAAAGTAATTTGGCAGACCTCCAAAATCATTACAGTGTCATGTTCTAACATTCAGTAATCTGGTATTGTTATCAAATTAGTAATGTGACCAAAAGCCAATTCAATTTCGCCCGTTAATTAAAGCGATGAAATTGCGTGTTACTCAACGATTACATTAAAAATTGAGTAGAGTCGATAAATTTGTGGCAAGTCCAAAAATAATTTACCTTATTTCTCGTTCATGTTTATATAATTGCTTTGACGTTGTAAATATTAATTCAATCTGTAGAAGTATATTTATTTTTTTGGTTAAAGTGTGTCGTGAAGTTTGTTAATATCCAGCCAGACCTCAGATCCGTTTATTTTTCTATCCCAGTATAGCATACTGCGACAACGTGGTAAAATTTATAGGTAAAAGATCTATTTTTGTCATACACGTTAAGAAAGGGTTTAATGACGACTTTTTGGGGTGAGAATAAAACCTTTTCAAGTATCCTTTAATTACTTTATCCTTTTACGGGCTTGCTAAGGGTGCCATAATCTCGTAAATTTGACAGCTCTATAAAAGTCGTTTTTATATGTCAAAGATTGTAAAAGGTGGTCGAAATACCTTCCTGCATTAAGGGAGAGAAAATGGTTTAAAACTATTCGAAATGTAAGAGGCGTTTTCAAACTAATTTTCCTAATTTTACAGCTTTTATGGAGTCACCCTCGCGTTAACTACACAATCCTTATCAGAAAACAAATTAGACGCTGAAATTAGGGTTTGCTATGATATATTCGTATTAAAATATGTAATTGGAAGTTGAGTAGATAAGTTATTTGAGGAAGCTGCGATAAATTACGTTGTTGTTCCGAGGTGTTTGCGATAGTGTAATAGGTATCTCTCGCTCATGTAGGTTTTAACGCTTACCACATGGCTTTGAACGACGACATTAATGCATATCCAAAATAGATCCATCCTGGCAACTGCTATATTCGGAGGAGTGACATAATCATTAGAATTATGCAAAATGAGTAAATTTAGATCATCTTGACATAGCTCTCATACATAATAGGTATAAAGTCACCCTTAAATGTATTGTTGGATGTATAGTTCGTTTTTAAACATAATAGAAACTGCTAATTAACTTAGGTTTGGGCTGCCTTTATATTTCATAACAAAGTTAGGCCAACATTGTCTAGTTTGAACGTGATGCATGTTAGGCCTAGTCAAACTACTAAACTAGAAAGGTGCGAATAAAGAGCGAATTTCATGCCCCTTTAAACCCAAATCTTCTGTTAAATGAATCGTTACCATATTAAAGTTTTAGAATTTAAAAATACTTTGTTGTACAATGTTGCAAAAACACTGTTTCATTATTCTGCATGTAGAAGTCTTTCAATTGCAAGCAATTGCAATTTATCGAGTCATACGCAATCCTTTGGACGGCCAGATCTATTCGGACGTAGGCCCTCCTCTCTTTTCCTTTACTTATTTCAAAGTAATTCTTTCTAGGAATTACGGGCTATTTTTTTTTATACCATGCGGGCTATTTAAGAGCTTTCACTTACAATCAATTTTAATGTTTAAGCTTCACTTGTGAAAGGTTAAATAGAAATAATCGTAGCTCTATGTTCGAACCTACTAGTCCTGCCTGTGTTTTCCTTTACTTACTTCAAATTAATTTTTATGCACGAACTATTGAGAAGTTTTCATTTATAAGTAATTCTAATTAGCTCCACCCTGGAGGGGGCAAAGTAACCTTTCCTCTGCTTACTTTTACTTATGTCAAATTAATTTTTAAGCATGAATCACTGCAACTGAAAAGTCACTTACAAGTCATTTTTGTTTTTGAGCTCGACCCCTATAAATCAAACACATAGACTCCTGCAAACGATCACTTAACTTTATTCATTTGAGAAACTCAGTAGCCTTTATTACTCTCATTCCAAAGAATTATTTAACCAATTTTTAATTAGCCCTTGACATAATCCTATATACGAATAGAAAAATTTGAAATGAGAACCCTTATTTGGGCATAATTTGGGCGCGATTGAACACAAAGCTAATCATTTATAGAGGAAAGAAATTTTAAAGCTAGAACTGCCTCAGTTTTTCCCTTCGCCTCTACAGCTTCCCCAACATAAAAACCCATTTTCTTTAATTAGTCACCAATTTTCTCCCATAGTATATTTTTAGGGTTGGGTTTGTCATTAAATTCTTCATTAAATTCTTTTCGCAATGCCACCAGATTAATCTGTGGTAATGCTAAGAATGGTATCGTGGCTTCATGGTCTTCTGGGTAGGATTCATAGCACTTTTCCATAAAGTTGAACTGGGGGGTTGTGCTGGTGATACAAGTGATGCTCAAAAATTAAAATTGATTGTAAGTGAAAGCTCTTAAATAGCTCGAAATTCGAGTACAAAATTTAATTTGAAAAAAGTAATTTGAAATACTGGGGCGGATGGGCTGGAATCCAAGTAGACTCGGCCATAAATTTTAGATTTCTAGTCATTTAAACGAGCTCTAAAATTCATAACTCATAAATTTGATACAATCGGGGTAGAAGTATATTAAGATTTCAAAAGCATTTATTAAAATGTAGCGAAGGATCCACGTCATGTTTCTAAAATGTTTCTAGTGGCGTGATGTTTTTCAAGGGCATATCAAACTTACGTTTTTTAAATGGAACAGCCCATATTCTATTGAAAAATTGGAAAGTTCCAGAAGAGTACTTATTTTTTATGTAACAAATTATACCCTTAACTATAACGAATTCGCTGATATAACCATTTTTCTTCAAACAGTACAGTTTCTTCGAATTTTTACATACAATTAAATCGCCTTTTGAAATGGGTCAAAAGCGAAGACCTCTTCCATTTCATATATTTTTTGGCCCTTTATTAAAATTTCCATTGATACCGCGTTCTTTTCCGAACCCAAGTCTGCTATTTTTAAAAAAATAAAAATATATCGGGTGAATATTTCAAAACCGAACATATGCAATTAAAATGGGATAAACGTTTTTTTGCAGATCGTTGGTCCCCATGTTAACTTACAGCGTTTATAATGACACCAATCAAAAGAAGATTTTTTCCTTATCAAATGATATGCGAATTGGTTTATTTTCAGTTGTATT